GGTGTGGAAGAAGGGAAGCAGGGAACCTGGCTGAGATTAGTGTCATTGCCCTTTTCACTGCATGGAAATTTTAGGCATAGTTTGGACTAGATTAAAGTATTTGATTTATTTTTAGCTAAATTTAAAACAGCTTTCTACTGAAAGCACTGCTCATGCACTGGACTCTTGGATTTCTTTGGGACTTGTACCTATGAGACACCCGCCTGCCCAAAGACATCACGCATGTGAACAAAACTGTCTAATAATGCCTTCTCTCTCAGAACAGGCCTGATTCATGTCTTCCTCATTTCCTACTGCAGTAGCTGAAAGAATAGCTCTGTGGTTAAGCTGGAAAAAGAGTCAAGAGATTCAGAGTTATTTCTGACTCTGCCACAAACTTCCTGCATGGCTGTGGACAAGTCATGAAAGCCCCCTGGCATCTGCATTTCCCTCTCTGAAAATTGGGGTAATATTAACAAACCCAATGAAGCTAAATTTACTGGCATTAGAGAAGTTATTCTAAATGGCACAAAAAGGCACTACCAAAAGGCAACACTTTGTTATGACTTTTAGGGCAGAGGGTCCTCAAACTGATACACGCATCTTGAGTTATATGATCACTGTTGTGCTTACTCTTAGCCAATGCATGCCTCTGAAAAAGCAACACAGAGGACAGACCATGAGCTTATCTGGCCACTAGACGTCCCTACCGCTCCTCAGAAATACAGTCTCAAATGTTCATTTGTTGGATTGCCAATAAAGGAGCTGCAAAAGGAAGACATCAGGAAGTGACAGTTTCCTGTACCTAGCACATATTTTAACAGCCCATTCACTACTGAAATAATATCAGTGTCATCTCAATGTACTTGGTTGCTTTGGAATTAATCAAATTTACTTTCATAATACCTGAATTGCAAATTACCAATGTTGATTTGGCATGAAACAATTCTACCTTGACTGTTTCCACAGCATCCAGTCAGAAGAGATTTTGTTCTGCTGGTGTATATGCACTAGAAGATGCTGAATGTATATTTGATGTTTATGGTGTATTTTTGCCTTAATTTCCTGCTGTTATTTTCTCCTGTTCAAGTTATTTTTCAGATGTACACAATATGTTTTTCAGAGGTATACAATTTACAAAGCAAAGCTCTGTGGGTTGACTTGTCTGTGTCAAGTAAAGCAGATCAGTGAAGAATGGCTCAAGTGATGATAGCAGATTAAGTAACCCCCAGCCAAAAAGAGAAACTTGTCTTTGGCATATAACAAAAATAAACCTCCCACCAGAGACCTTGGAAATCTTTAACTGTTTTTTCCTCCAGAAGAATTTATTACTTTCCAATGAGCAGCTGTTCACACGCTTCTCCCTCTTGTTCCTATTCATAGGATCAGATCCTGACTAGCATGCACAACCTCAAAAAAAAAAAAAAAAAAAAGAAAAAAGAAAAAAAGAAAGACTAAATACAAAAGTGCTTAAAATAACCTGATAAAAAGAATAAGCTATCATGGAGTTGACACTGTATCCTACTGTACATGCAGCTGCTTTCCAAAGCCTTACCTTATAGGCGACACTGTTTGAAGAGTCCACAATGATAAAGAGGGGCTTTCTTGTGAAAGGGTACAGATCACCAGGGTGAAGGCTGGAAAGAGAAAGAGACACTTCACAGAGCACTAGAATTTCTGTGAAGCTGCAATGGGGACACACAACTTCTAGTCATATGACTGCCCACATCAAGAGGGAAAGCAGAAGAAAACAACAAAGCTCAATAGTCCAAGTCAGAGACTAGGCCAGAAGGGACCAATGCAAGCGCTAGTCTGAGCTTGCATGCAGCAGGGGCCATAGGTTTCTCCTGCATTAATTCCTGTTGAAACTACAGCCTGTTAGAAAAATGTCCCATCCTGATGCCAAGTTTTCCAGCAACGGAGAACCCATTGCAACCCTTGGCGAGTTGTTCAAAGGGTTAAACTGCCCTCTGATGTTAACATTTTGTACTTTATTTCTAAGCTGAATTTCAAGCCCTTCAACTTGCAGTGATATAGTAGTTTTTCATTATATTCGTACATGCTAAACCAAAGAGCCCATCATCAAGGTTTTGTTTCTAAACACATGTTTATGAATTGATCACGTCATCACTTAGCTTTCTAAAACAAGCTAAGGAAACTGAGTTTCTCCAGTTTCTCCACTACAACTTTGATTTAAAGCATAGAAAAAACTCTCTCACTTGCTTTTCTTCAACATCCTTCTTGAACTGCAGATACCAGACTGGGACGTAACATTCTAGGAATGTTTGACACTTGTGTCAAATACAGACTAACATGTCCATACTCCTTCAGGATTCCCATGATTTTACATCCCAAGATCACATTAGCATAGGTTTCTTTTGCAGTGAGAATAACATCCCAAAACTAAAAACAATTAGGGGTTTTAACAAACGGGTATAAAACACCTGAGTAATACACAAGAGTTCCAGGATGGGTTAGTACAAACCAACATCATCTTTACTAGCCTTTCAGGAAAGTGGGTAAGGGCATGTGCACTGTACACCCACCACTGCTTTCTCTCATACGACCCTCCACATGTGTTCCATCAGTTCATAATTATCATGCTCTCTAGCAGGGGTTCAAGTGGACTGATTCCCTAAGCGTTAAGAAATGAAGCTAGGGCTCTAGCTACTGACAAGACTTTCATGATTTCAAGCAAAGATGCCAAACAATCTGTATATTCTTAACATGGATATTTCCTGGATTAAAAATGCTCCAGAGGAATCCTCAGACAGTGCTGAATGTACTTCTCCGTGCTCCCCTACCTTAGCTGCTCAGTTCACTGGGCAGAACAGCTGTTAGTGCTATCTCTGCTTGGCCCAAAAGGACGGGGTACCATGGGAAACTAAGGGTGCCTGTAGACGTGCAGGGAGGCTGCTCTGACGTGCTGTAATTAATCAATTAATTGAGTCTGCTGGAGAATGCCAACCAGCATACTTCAACAGCCTCCATGTCTCTTGTATCAGTGGCCCTGCTTCAACTTGGCAGTGGGGGGGTGCTTTAACTAAAGCTTGTTTGATGAGCTTCAGTTAAAGTGCTCCACCGCCATTTTGCAGTGCAGGGATGCTGATAATTAAAGTGCCTGAAGCATCTTGTGTAAGAGCAGCTCTCAGATGCTTTAATTAAAGTAAACTCCCCTTCTACCCTTGGAGCACACATAAAAACACCCCAAAAGTCCTCTCCCTTCCACTGACCCCACGCTGGGGCAGTATGGAAGAGATGGGGAGCCAATGGCCAAGTGCTCCAGTGGGGAGTACTAAGACAGACTGCTACTCCTGCACACTGGAAACAGAAGGAGCAGACAAGAGGATCATGGAGCACCTGCACTCAGAGCTGACAAACACCCATGCGCCCACTTTCAAATGACTGCTAGCATTCAAGTCTAACTCACTTGTGCCTACCCATGCCCTCCAACAATGGAAAACTTGGAAGGGGGTGAAGGGAGGATTAGTGCCATACTACATCCATTTATTTAATTATATTTAACCTTAAGCCGAGCTGGAGACCTGACATTTTGAAACAGAGGGTCCAAAAGCTATATTCCTCAAGCAAAATATAGCAATGTTATTACCATCACACTACATGAATGTAACATCCAACAGCTGTATGTCCCCAAGATGGCATGTGCTGCACAAGTGGCCCCACTCAGTACTGAAAGCAGAGTTCTCTCTCCTGCTCTTACTTTTGCTAGAATGCAGGTGGAGGTGACAGTGAATGCAGACTGACAGAAGCAGAGATGAAAGTGCGCTGAAACTTCCTCGGCCTGACTAAGGGTTTTTGAACCCAAAAGCTTGCTTAAAATTTGTTTTCCAACTATTTAAGTTGGTCTAATAAAAGATACCAGATTCACCCAAAGAACCTTGTCTGCTCTTGCTTTCTGCCACCCCATCCCCCCACCCCCAGTTCATACAGGAAACCCACACATCTCTGAAGTTTTGTAACAAGTATTTTTTCCACAACATGACCCACTTTTTTCAAGAAAAGAGTCCAGTCGGTTTTGATGCCTTTTTCCCCCGTGAAAGAGAGAAAGCATGCCTCTTCTGCTTGCTGAGATCATGAAAACTTACCAGTGCATCTCCTTGTAAGACTGGTTTCGCTTGTGGATTGCATCCCCATTTATAATGTCTCTGTTACTGTTTGTAAGAACACCACCAAAATCATACGGACCTACAAATGGCAAAGAAAAGTCAAGATCAGCTGACGTAGCACAACTGAGAGCTACTGATACTGTTGGACAAAAGTAAGTGAATTTGAACTATTATGATTTGGAAATAAAAGGATCATGGAGCGCTTGCAATTTGCTAGCCATGCAACTGAAGTTGTAGCCATTTCAGTCACTTCAGTGTCTACCAACTGCTTTGGTAATGCAATATGCTCCAGAGCTTATACTTTATTCATTCTTCAAAACAGAGTATAAAGAAGACCAAGACAAATATATTGTACCCTGTTAGACTTTGTAATAAAAGTGTTTCATTTGGAGGTGTCTCCAGGGACACTTTATACAAGCAAGTTAATACTGTATTTATATTATTACATGAATCAATGTATTCCAGAATCAGAATCTGGCCTTCAGATGATTAAGATCAACCAGTTTCAAATCCTGAGCCTTTCCCAGGCTGCCATAAACACCAATGTCTACAATCAGAGCACTGCAAGGAGCAGCAAGAGGGGAGCAGGGAAACTCTGGAAAGCTTGTACATGAAGACAGTTTATTTTCAATGCTTCAAAGTTCCCATTGTTATTAGCACAATGCCAGACGCATGGTAACGGTCATTCTTGAGACTTCTGTTTCTGAAATTCTGTATTTTTCAAAGCTACGTTAGGACTAGACAGCCCAAGTCTTGCAAACTCAGTGGAAGTGAGTATATCTGGGCTAACTGCTTAATTGGCCCATAATGAGCAGCAGATAAATAAATAAAAAACAAAATCCAATTGGCACAAAAATGCCAGTGGTTCTTACAAAAGTGTGCAAGACCCCAGCAAGTTTTTCACCCTGGTCTGGGCAATCAACCCTCTGTAACACGGACAGGGGGATAACACATGCACTGCATCTTCCCTATCCTGCTACACATCTACACAATTGGATTTTAACACAACTAAATACAGAAAAAACCCTTCCTTCAAAATGGAGAAGTCACCAGTCATCTTCAAGGGGAGCTTTAGGGTAGAGAATCAGGAACAGAGTGCAAGTTCATTCAGTACTGTCACAGGTCTTCTCTGTGACTATAGAGCCAAAACCAGAACGTGGAGTTCAGTGTTACAACCTGCAGTTGCTCTTTACTTTAATACGGAGCACGACACGCAGGGAATGCTAATATTTGCAATCCACGTTCCTTTTGAAAAGTGTAACCGCTAGCCCATGCGTTTCATGCACCTCTTGGGAACAGGAAGCACTGACTATGTGGTTCTTCACAAGACACATTGGGGGCCTCTATCATAACCCAGGAAGCTAGAACAAGACATGTGGTGGATAAAATGCAGGCTCTAAAGGACAGAACATAGCTGAGACCAGAATACACTGGATTATAGCCCAGTGAAAAAATGTTAAAAGCAAATTAAAAAAATCCTTGCCACAACAGAAAGGCAGCAAGGATTTTTTTTAAAAAAACATTTTGAAAGCCCTAGTCATGCATGGAGGATGGAAAAGGCATGCATCATATAAAGGAATGCGAGTCTCCAACAGACGAGGTGCATACAATGTTTAGGATGCTTGAAAGAATTTCTTCTTTTAAAGTTTGTTATGTAAATGTAACCAAATCATTTAACTGCAGTTACCCCAGTTGGCCAAACTTAGGTTTTTAGATTGCAGCTGTATTTTCTGCTGGGACGGACGGAAAGGGAGGATGAGGTGAGGGGAGTTGTCAAAATCATGACAAGGGCTTGAACTGTCACATCAACAAACGTGCAAATACAACAACCTTTGCAGAGACTTTCAGCCATTTTGCCACCATTCTCCTGACCCGCTACCTTTATAGTACTCATCAAGAAGAATTGACAAATGCCATTTTAACTAACTGTATCAAGTTAACTGTACGCAAAAGGACCAATTGAGCCAGTAATGTCTTCAATATTGATGAATTTATAAACAACTCTGATGCATCAAAATCTTGGACATGTCCACAGAAAAGGTTTCAAGTCAGCGTATGCTAATTAAATCCATGGAAGTAGCTGCTCTCTAACGTCCAAAGAAAAGCTAGTATTGTAACGCAGATGGACACATGAAATTGGACTTGTCCTCTGGAAAGTTGTGTGACACCTTTTTCGGTCACTTGCCCTGGAATAGAAAGAGAATTCAAGCCCTGTTCATGACAGGGAGCATTCCTTTATTATACCTTCACTATCCGAACGACCTGAGGGGAACACTCCTGTAGCAGACAAGTAAATCAGCAGCACGCTGTTTGCGGGCAGCTCCTGAAATTCAAGGAGAGGGGGGGAAAAGGGAGGGCAGGAAGGAGATGCACATATTTATTGTAATAGGTCACAGATATTCTGCTTCAGCCTGATAAAATCATTGCCATTTCAAGGTGCGTGCCCCCCTGCCTCTCGCTCCTTTACATGTTTCTATATTATACAGAACCCGTGCTGCAGGTGTGCTCTTTGAAATGCAAGTTTTAAAGTCTGACTGGTACATCAGGTTCAGGAGCTGTAAGAGTGCACCAGTCTCCCCGCAACCCTCTGGATACCTAAAAAGGCCCTGAGCCTTCCCAAGAAAGTAGAACCCAGAAAAGATCATGTCCCTCTAGAAAAGAGGGATTTCTCAACTGTTCCAGGATCCTAAAAGTTGTTCTTTGCTCTTTAACAAAACAAAACAGGGCCAGACTGATTTGCAGCAAACCCAGGATGCTGGATCCTGCACAGGGCTGAGAAAGAGCTGCAGGTACATTAATGTTCAGCCTTTCTATTGCTTGTCTGCTCAGGGGCACCAATACCAGTGACCTTTGCCCTCTGGAGAATGGACTGGGTCTCCAGGCACCCACACCACCACAGGCACACAGAAGGTATCATTTTAGGCTCATCAACTGTGACAACTGTTTCTATACAGAGGAAGCATATTCTGTTTTTAGCAACTAAACCTCCAGGCTGCTGATGGTGCAGTCATAGTTAAATATATACTGGGCCCTACAACTGCGTTAAATAGAAACCAGCCATCATCTGTAGGACATATAAAATGGGGATTCTTGTCTCAATTACTTCTTAATTTAGTGAGATGTTCCATTCTGGAGATTATTTCAACATGTGGTAACTACGTCAAGTTTTACAAACCTTAAATGATGCTGCTAGAAATGTATACAGCTGGCTGAAGGTTGGTTTATACAGCAAGTACTTGTGGGGATTTTCCCGCCTGGCTGGTTTCTCAGTTGATTCCTATTAAAACAAACAAAAATCACATGCCATATAAAGCTAAGGTGGCTTTATAAACATCTTTAACTTCAATTTTCCATTTATCAGAATATTTCACCTTCAACACGTTTCTCCCACACATAGTCTGTCCATGTTTCATTCACTACTGTGAAGGAAAATGAGACAAACGGACTTTGTGTCAGAAGATGTTAGTCTACAAGCTAACCCCTCAGTTCAATTTATAGTCCAAGATAAAAGCAAGATACAGGTGACTTTTACACAACAAGGTGAGCAAATTCACTCTCTCATTCAGTTGGTTCTTAATCCCTTACAAAAGCTCTTCAGCCATATTCATAAAGATGCTCCCTACAAACAGCACAAGCTGGCTCTGGTACTACTTCCTTGCTTTGTACTTTACTCCTGTGAAAGAGAAATATTTTCTTCCATTGTAATCACTTAAGACAATTTACTTGCACCTTAAGAACACGCTGTGGATGTGGAAGAAACATAAAAGGCTGAACATTTCCTCCTGATCTAAAAATAACACAAAATCTGCCTTTGGTTAGTCTAGAATAGATATTTAATAGCTATGACCCAAGCAAGAGGGACAATGCAAGAGTCCACTTAGGTAGTGGGAAAGGAAGGGGTTTTCGAGGACAAGAAACAAGATTTACTTTATTTACCATCTAGAAATACTTGTTACTGAAGCTTCCAGATGTAACTGAAAAGCTAACACCCACGTAAAGTCTAGAGTCTAAAACGTTCTCTATCAGGACAAGAGTTCTGACAGCATACCTACCCTGCTCTGCACACAGGGACAGGGCAGAGAGATTACAGACTAAAATGAACACAGTTCTGCTGCCAAGTTTGCAGTTGAGAAATGAAACTCGCCTGCATTCCAGGTTTATTCATCTGTGAAGCCAAGTTCATCGGTTCCCTTTCAAGTGCTTGCAGCATTCGAAACATATCAATTGTTAACTCACTGAACTTGACCTGCAAAAAAAACATTGCCATCACTAACACCTTTTGCCTGCCACAGAAAAAAAGTTATTAGATTTATCAGGAATTATCTGGGCAAGATCTTTGATCTGCATACTGAAAACAGTAAATGAAGGACTATATGATGCCTGAAATGCACCACTGAGAACCAAGAAGAGGTAGAGGTGGGAAGAGAAGGCCACCTGGCCAAAAATTTCCCAATTCTCCTTGGAAAGACCCATGTCCATTTAATTAGATATTGAACTGAGAATTTCATTAGGATCAATGCAATAGATGAGACTCTCTCCAAATAACTTTCTACAAAAATCCTGCCTCTTGCTTGTTCTGAATACATAAAAAGCTTGAGACAGTAGAAGAGATTGTTCTTTACTGAATACAAGTGGTTAAAACAACCATGCAAAAACAAACACATGCAACAAATGTAAGACAGTTGGCTCATATCAGAACAACTCTTTACAGCTGTCACTTAATTTTTGCCAAACTCTCAGCTTATCTAGTCTCCCTCTTATCCCTGCTGAAAGATTTTGTTAGTTTCCACTGAGCTCTCTAATTTCCTTTAACAAAATTAGAAAAAACAAGTGAACAAAAACCCAAATACAAAACCCAATCTCCTCCAATTCAAATTGAAGACAAGACATATAAACAGCCCCTTGTAATTGCTTGTACCTGGTTATTGCAATTCCCAATAATTAGTGCATCTGCAAGAGCAAGCTGTCCCACGATCATTCCTTGTTCCAGCAACGGAGCCCCTGTTTCAGACAGTCTGTTGGAAGTGATTACGATGGTATTGTCATCATTCAGAACCATCACAGGGTCTGCCTGGAAAGACAATCAACTCACAGCATGAATTTTAAGGAGACCCACAGGGTCCATAACTGGAAAGCAGAAGGAGCTCTATGGCCTGTCACTTAGATAGAACAGAGATATCTTGTAGCTGAAGCAAAGCTGTGAAAAGGAATTTATTAAATAAGACCATAAGAACTACCATTTACTGGGTCATACCATAGGTTTATTTTGCCCAGGACCCTATATCACATATTGGCAGAGTGTGGATGTTGAAAGGGAGAGTGAACTGGGTACAACCAGGGTTTTTTCCACCCCCACTGTTATTCTCACATCCAGTCCTCAGCATTAAAAGTATAAGAGGTTCTAATTCAGAGGCTGTATCCCCAGCTCCCATACTCAAAACTATGGATGCCCCTTTCCTCCAATAATTTGTCCAATCCCTTTCTCAGTAATAATTTACATTTCATGCATCTTAAAGCTCTACAAAATATAGACCTCCAAACTGGAAAAGTAGCTAATCTTAGGGACTCAAAGCAAGTACCACTGTATTTAAGTGTGTCACAAGCTGCAAAGCAGAATGTACTTCATGCAGCATAAGCCTCCTGTTTTAGCTGGGGAAACAAGCACCACTAAAAATCTTGCAGCTCATACAAGATGTCTTGTAATACTCCAGCAAGACAGAAAAGTCTTGCATTACTTCCATTTTCCTCCTTCTGGCAGATGAATGAGGAAGATAAGCAAATGCTAATGTTGCATTCCAACCAAGTAACATTTAAAGATTGCATGCATAATTGCACAGAGGTACATACACACACAGGTTGTACAAACCAAAGGGAGCATGAAACTGTCATCTGTTTTTAAAGGATAAAGAAATCCTCATTTTTTATCATGACATCCCATAAAAGGGGTAACATTTTAACAATGCCAAGATTTATTGTCAGCATAACTGCCAAGATTACACTGTACTTTCTCTTACATATTGTTTAAGTATTACCAAAGGATTATGCCAGCACCCCAAAATGAAAATGTACTTGGAAATTACAAATACAATCTAAATATCACATTCCATCAACTATCCTCACTCAAAAATGAACCTTCAGATACCAGTCTTTCTAAAACAGCGCTGGTGTGAATAATTGTGCTCTCAATCTCCAGGTTACCTAAAGATCAGGTGAAAGAACAGCAGTGGTGAATGGCTGAGAGTCAGTAGGCTTCAGCTGCATGTTTCTATCAGCTCCGCATGAGCAGATCTGATGCTGGAAGCACTTGTGCTTCCTAACAGCTTTCACAGCTCAGCTAGTACAAAATATTTCAGATTGGAAGCGTGTGTGTCATGCCAGGGCACAGCGTTCTCACTGCTCCCCTTCACTGTGGCAGCGGACCTAGACAATGGAGTCTGAGGAGTCCAACACGCTTTACTTTACATAAATAAATTAATAGATACACAAACTTCCATGTGAAAAAGGAGAGACTGATGCTTCCTTTTTTTCTCACCTCAATAAAAGCTGCCACCTCCTGCAGAACCAGGTTCCATTCCACCTGGTCCTCAGTATTGAAGCGATGGGTGTAGTCTTCAATTTCATCTGACAGTTCCTAAGTGCAAAAAGTCCAAAGGAAGCAGAATAATAAATGACTTTTTGGGAGCTGCAGGCAGCTCTGCTTTAGGGCTGATGTATCTCATCAATCAAATTAAAAAGTATTGATTGTTGTTGCCCGCAGAACCACATCCCAAACAGAACCTGGCCAAAAATCAGCCTAACATATGCTGCTTCAGGAGCCAAGACTTCCTGAGCCATTTCTATGTATTTTGACAACACAAAATATGAGTGAAAACAAGTGCCATTCCTTGCCCTTGGGACTAAATCAAGTTCAAATGTATAAAGACAAGCACAGCTCTGTCATTGGTTGTTACTGTAAGGCTGTTAATAGGACTCAAATTTAAGGTTACAGATAACTTAAGACAGGATTGGGAAGTGAATGGCATGTTCTTTCTGGCTGTTGTCTCTACTAGTTCATGCTGTGCAATTTTTGGTGCTCATCCCACTGAATACAGCCAGCTAGAAAGCAATACAACTGGCACAGAAATACCAACATTCAGAGGCTGTTTATAGCATCGCAGAAAGCAGGGTTTGGGTTTGCTTTGTTTTGGTTGGGGTTTTTTTGTTTGGTTTTTTTTGGGGGGGTGGGGGGGGTGGAAAGGATTGTGGGTGAGCCCTTGGAGGGTGGAATTTTTTTTTGTCAGAAACAGGCAGACTCTCCAGCTCCAGACAGCAGGACTATCTGAATATTTTCTGAGTCTCAAGTCTTTTCAAAAGAGAACCAGCAAGTCATTTCAGTTTAGTATTTTATTATAAAGCAATTATTATGGTCTAAGCTATTCCCTTAACTCTAAATCTATTGAAAATCCACTGCCCAAAGACTTACTCTGATCTGCACACTAGTCCTACCTGTGGCCCCTCCAGAGATCCCATTTTGCAGCAGTTCAGATGAGTAAGCCTTCCCCTAGCTGGTGGTATGGAGGCACACAGGTCCCCTCCTTTCCCTATTCCATGATAGTGTCTACAGTCTCTCTTGGTCTTGCATATTATAGGTCTTCTGGGAGGTGTGAAATACATGGTAGGGGTTTCCTGTAGATGGTGGGAGACTCAACACCAGACTGGGGAGGAGCAGAATACTTTGCTGAGCAGTGAAATCTAAGTGGGAGGCATTTGATTTTCTTGGAGAGGGCAGGCCACGAAGATGGGCAGGTTTGAGCATGGTAGAAGCCTCTGTCTGACCTGGAAGAGGTGAGGGGCATAAGGCTAGGAGATATATTGCCCCAAAGTGTTCAGCTAGCTGAAATGTGCGATATGAAGTCACACTGGAAAAGGGTTTATGCAAAACCAATCTTAAGATATTTGCCTTCTGCCAATAAAGAACATCTTGCTATCCAAAAACATAGGTCATTTATGTCTATGAGGCACTGAACAGACATATCAGGATGTCTCTCTTACCCTGCAGCCCTGCAGTCCCTGAAGCCAAATTCAAGTGAGTGAGTTGCAGGTGTAATGCTAACAAGGAAAGCAGCAACATCCAAAATCTTGTGTCTGATATTTCAAATGAGTGAGGGTCTCCCCTGGATTGCAAAAGGGAAGAGCTATACACACTACCGGCTGTACTGTACGTGTGCAAAATGCACCTCTTCCTCATACATACAATTTACCTTTACAAGGTCCTTTACAACATCCATTTTGTTGAGCAAAAGACAAACTACTATAAACCTTGCATAGTACCGAAGCTTTTTGACCACCAATTCAGGCCTGAAAAAGAAAAAATGGAGAACACTTAAAGAGTTGTTATAGGAAAGGATTACAATGGCAGATTGGTAAATCAAAGCATCGTTAAAGTACATTATATTCCACTTCACCACCACCACAACATATGCAGTAAGATTCACCTCTGCATGGTTTCATCGGGAAAGGGAAAAAGAACTGCAAACTGGGACAGATTCTCTCCTGCCTCTGAGTTCTACCTGGCATGGGAAAGGGCCTGCAGGAACCGCTGTAGTACACAAAACCTAGTAAAACTCAGAAGCAGGAGAAATCTATGGGGTTCCAGTCAACCAAGGCCAAGTCCCTCGAGTGCTTCCAACTTGCCAACTTGGCATGTAACTCCATACCTCAGAGACTCTCAGCATTAAAAAAAGATATCACTTCTATGGATCTTCCTCAGCTGTAGAGATGTAGAGATGTGACCTATTGGCCAGTACGTAAGACTGAGGGCAACCTTGATGTGTCATAGCATCCCTATGAGCTAGCCCCACCTGAGGAACATACTCAAAGGAGGCACCTCTCTTGTTACTTTCAGGAATCACTCATGCACACACAGGACCATGTTTCTCTTGTCAGTTGTGCTGGGGCTGGAGAACTGCCAGCAACACCGCACTTATGAGATGCTTTGATTAGAAACAGGTTCTTGTACTCCCTCAACTCACTCAGGCAGAACCAAAATAATCTTCCAGTTCCAGAACACTACTGAGGCAATTCCCAGTAACAGCACTGATAACAAGGGCTGAGAAGAACAAAGTTGAGCAGCAAGAGACCCTTTTGCTGTAGCTGAAGGCAAGTGAAAATCCTTTTAGTCTTCTGACAAAGCTCTCCATTTGCACTTGCCCATTTAATCGGAGTTGCTGGATTAACAAAGACTTCCTCCAACAACACTCCCCTTACTCCAGTTCTTTCCCCTTAATCAGTTTACAATTAATTGCTGTGTCTGCCCACTGCCCTAGTCCTGAAAAAAGCAGGTCAAAAGTCATACCTGTCTTCTTTATTGACTTGGGAGTAATACGATCTCTGTCTAATTGCTGAATAGAAAGAGAAGGCCTCATTCAGGTAGCTGGTTTCAGATGTCCGCAGGCTGTAGAGAAAACACATTAGCTCACTGCTTCAAGAAGAGGTGGCTGCTAGACCCTTCCTGGTTCCTCAGGTGAGTTCAATGAAAGCTTGCTTCCCACTCTTTGTGTATGCTGGGAAGACAGATTCCAAAGGCTGGATTTTATCTGCCCATTTAAGATAGCCAGCAAAGACAAGAGCAACCAAACCTCCATGTCTTCAAGATCTGGCTAGAACCAAGATCCTGGCTCGTTCAGAAGAGCTTCAAAAGGAGCAACTTGAAATGCCCAACCTGGTAATTTAACCTGTTCTCAAGGTGTCCTGCATTGTGCATTTAGGCTGCTTTCCCCACCATGCATGTCGATGGATTCACTTACTAATAATGATAGTAGAGTTGCCCAATCTTGGAGGCAATTTCCCCAATTTGCCACCGCTTTAGGCCGTACCGATTGTCCAGAACTTGCCTATATCAAGAGAAGGAAGAAGAGAATTTAAGCGTATCCCATTCATTTCCTAGAGCAGCACACCACCCAAGCCAAAAAACCATTCTACAGCCTGCTTTTCTTACTGACACTGGCATTCTCCATGACTGCAGACCAGCTCTGGCACAACTATGTGCACAACAGCAGGGCCACGTGCCAAAAGGAGAAATTATACAGCACCAGCTGTATCCTTATATCCCCACTGGGACTGGGGCCTCAAGCACTACACAATACCAAGAGAGAGAGAGAAATATTAGAAAGTCCAGTGGTGATGGATCTCTAGACCATGCTCTTACCTATGCTGCTGTTGAAATTTCCACAGTTTGGTGTAAACATCAAATGTTCGCCCAAAATAGGACTGCCACTGCTTCTGTCCATACTGAGGTAAATCCCTGAAAAAGACAAGTGACAGATGCAGAGAACATCCTGCAAGTACTCAACCAGCCCAGAATGAGGGTGGCAGACTCCAAATCAGAGAAGGAACGGGTTTTTGTCCATTTAGAGTTGACACAGCCTTGACCAAGTCATTACAATTCTGTTTGTCAGAACACCTGCAGACCCACATTCACATTTCCCTGTAACTAGAGCAACTGAAATCTGGGCAGGAGAGTTCTGGGTTCAAACACTGGACCAGGACTTGTTTCACGCTTGCTAATGGCACTGCTGTAGTAGACACGTAGTATGTTGGAAACGCCATGTTACACTGAGGTCATACACAGAAAGACTCTGCACTCAGACTGTCTGTGCATCTCACTTGCCGATTCCCACACTCAACCTGAACAAAAAAGCTTTTTAGTCTGAGATCGTAGTGTGCTGGGCACAAAAGAAAGAACCCTCCAAATACTCTCCGCCTTGCAGGTCACACACAATCATTAAGAACAAAAAGGTTCTTAAGGCATGTCTACTGCCCATGTGAAAAGTTATTTCAGTTCTTTATTTGTTCTCGATTCAAGACAAAAAAGTTTTTTTTGTGAACAGTGTCCCAAGTCACTGAGCTGGTTTATGAACCCTATCCTATGCAAGAAAGAGCCAGCTGCATCTGCTAGAAGCAGACAGGAGAAGCCGCAAGCTCCCCCTTCAAAATGAGGGAAGGATTGAGAGAGACATCTGCAAGCTCCAAGGACCAAAGCTCTTTAAAAGCACCCAGTAATTGGGTGGGTTGTCCAAACAGAAAACCAACTGGGATGGACTGTCCAAACAGAAAACCTGTCCCTGCTGACCTCTCCCCTATCATAGGCTGTGTGGGACTAAATTGTTATAAAAAAGCCCCCAGTAAGACATGAAGGGCGGGAAGGGCTGCAGAAAGGTCAACTAGGAGACAGCATGGCATGGTGGCTGAAGAAATGGAAAGAACAAGGTGGCAGAGAGGGATCTCCAGTACACCACGGCTGTAATTTTTTTTAAACTGTGCTCCACATGAGGTAGAAAATTAATACTCCTTTTGCTTATGAGTCAGGTCCACATGTCATGCACCTAGAGAGAATCTAGCAGAGTTATTTTATAGAGGGAAACAAGTATTGGCTTTGTCCCCATACTGGCCTGGAAAGCCATTCCCGTGGCTGCTGCTGATACTATGATACAGCTGCCAAAGAAGAAGGGAAAGAAGTTGCCAAAAAGCAACTCCCTGCAAGGCTTGCGATTACCATTCTGTGCCCTGTGAACAGCTTGCAGAGTTGGCATGAGTGGGAGTCCAAACGGTCCAGAGCCCATAGCGTATGAGAGAGGAGCACTACACCAAGTAACACAAGCCTCGGAGCATCTTATGCAAGAAGGAGCACAACTCTGGTTCAGGAATCAGCACAGTTCTTCCACACCGAGAAGCTTATTCTGCACACGATTCTTTTCAGAGAACACGTAGCCATATTGTGAAAGGAGAGGTGTGAAGGCACTGTGCCCACCTCCTTGGTACACTCCTCACACTGCTCTGCAGAGATTCTTCTGGCTCCCTCTCTTGCCCATCTAGCAGTGTGGAGATAATGTGTTCCTTACCCCATGCTATAGACACACTCCCTTCCTCCCTACCCCTCCAAAAGCTGAGACAGCAATGGTCAGTGGGGACAAAACAAGAAGGATTCTTTTAAATCAAGTTCAAATGAAGTAAAATCCAACGGGTTTTTTTTAAGTTAGATATTAAAAATCCTACATACAATTCAAGTTTGAAATTCTTACAGCCTGAAAGAATTATAAGCTATAAGAATTGTAGGTAGTTTAACTTTTTATATTATGTAAAAGTCTTGACTTTTTAATGTAAAAAGTTAAACTACCTACAATCTATTAGAATAAATATTAGTCTGCATGTTTACCGCTGAAGTTTTACAGAAAAATCAAACCGATAACTGGCAGAAATCACCGGCTGAGCACCGAACAATTCTGGTTCTAGAAATGCTAACCGCCAGCTTTTGACAATAATGGCCTCTTCTGCAGGTAGAGAGAATATTTTCTTTTTTTCAGCTTATGACTAGTTCCACTGAAATGACTAGTCCATTCAAAGTTGAGAAAATGACAGGGAGCTAAAAAGAAAAGCAGAAAAGCTTGCTTTCCCCTCCCAATCTCTGAATAATACCTAGGTGCGAGAGGATGTGATGCGTGTTCTAAACCCTTGTAGAACAGCAATCAGAAAGAATCAATTCAACTCACTAACAAATACCCAAATACATCAGGTTCAATGCAAAACATGCTTTGCATTTAAAACCATTTCCTTAACTTATTCAGCATGGTTAAACTGCTCCTATTTCGTTAATAAAAATACTTGTTTTGGGCATAGATTCATTTCCAATTTTCTTCCAAATACAGTGTGACACAACCAAGTAGAAATCAATTATTTAATTAAACAGAAATACCGCATGCACCATTTGCTAACATAATCAAAACGTAAAAACGAAGGAACCGAACACTGTACGTTAGAAGAGATAATTGTTGAAACAAATGTATAAGGATAAGAATTGAGTCTTCCTGGTTCGTAAATCACACACTACACCCAGAGAGCAACAGTTTCAGTGGTTAACGGGCAATTAGACTCTGCTACTTTTGGGAACTAAACTAAGTACAATTACAAATACTGAAGCTGATTTATACATAAAGCAGGATTATTGGACTTGGCCATGTAACACAACCCACTCTAGGAGTAGTAATTCTGCTCTTCTACAGCAAGATAAAAGGGAGATCATACAAAAAGCCCTCCCTCCCAGCATACACGCACACTCTTCACATTTTGTCTGCGCTGTGCCCATCACACAATGAGCAGGGACTGTAGTTCTGGGGGAAGGTCCTCATTCCCTACCTCATTCCCTACCTCTTCACCTTGCCCTACCCTGCCTACCCAGCCTCTTCTATTCTGTGCCTGTTGCTTCGCTCTGAAAGCCCAAAACGCATCTATAAAATTCACCATTTCCAAGCCAGCTCAGCATTTAGGGTTCGTTCCAAAGAAGCTAGACAATGAACAACCAGTAACAGCACTTCTGCCCTTGCAGTACACGTGAAGGGACCACTATTGTGGATAGAAACCGTTGTTTCCGCACACACGTTTCAAGCAGCATGCAAGCCTAATTGCAGCCAGAATAGCTGCACAACACCATGCTGTTCCTGGGCTCCCCTGGGAACAGGGAGGGTCTCCATGGAAACAGACATCAGCACTTGTTCTTTTGATAGTATCCTG